AGCAGTATATTTTGTGGATTGAATGAACAAAAAGAGCAGAAAGCGAAGGTCGTTTTGTGTTGGAATACCATAATTAAAGAAACAAAAGCTGGAACGGATTGTGTTAGAAAAAAAAAAAAACTTTTAAAGAATTTGTGTTGTACTGAAGAAAGCTTAATTAAATAATTTTTTTGTGCTGAGAAAAATAAATTAAACAAAGGCCGGATCCGTTCTATATTGAATTAAAGCCACAATGAATATTTGGAATTCTAATTGAGATCAAATGAATAACGAAAATCTTGATCAACCAATGGGCCCGACTCATATGAATCTACTATGAAAACGACTCCAAAACATGATAAACGTTTTGTCAAGACAACAAGAACCCCAGTCGAATATGTGGGAACAAAACTTTGTGGACATACCTGTTTTTACTAGAAGCAATCAAGACCCCATAGAATGGTTAGAGGCCGTCGATAGGGCTTTTGAGGCCAATAATATTGTGGGGAAAAGAAGGCTTTCTGTTGTTGGTGCTTACCTTTTGGGACTTGCAGCGTTTTGGTGGATGGATCGAAGGAATAAGGAACCAAAGATTCAATATTGGAATAATGAATTCATTCCTGAACAAAGCTTTGTGCACCAATTTAATACTAAATTTTGTACATATGTATTGATAACTCAGCGGAATACAAAACTCTCAACATGACAGCAACGTATAGACGAAACGGTAGATCAATATGCGACTGACGTGTTGGTGTTATTTCGACGTTTAATGAAAGTAGGCAATCAATACCCTGAGGTAATAAAGGCACAAATGGTTGTGCGAGGTCTTCGTCCTGATTTATATTTGGCAGTTGGACCCTTTATGCCTAATACGATTCAAGAGGCTATCGATAGAGCTCAGATGTGTAAGTTGACATTTGGATGTGAATTAGCTTTTTGTGGAACTGTGGCAATTTATAACACAGTGTTTGGATCTTTGCCTCAGCAACCTTATTCTCAACAATCGTGGGCCTTACCACCCCAGCAAGTTTTGCAATCCAAAATGCCAATGCAACAATCAGTGCCATTTCAGTTACAACTGTTGGTAACGAATTCGCCATCCAATATGATATCTCCGAATTCGATGGGCTATAGGATTTCGTTGCTACAAGAGGTAGTGACAGCAGTAAAAAGTGGCAATAATAACCATAATAATAATAGGTGTCCTGCAGTCAATAGAATCATAGAGAAAGAGTTGGCTGTGGATTAATTTGTTTTTCGTGTCAGCAGCCGGGCCATATTGCAAGAGACTGCCTGAATGTAATTCGCTGTGATAATGAGAATATGAATGTTCTTCAAACACAGATTTTGGGTAATCAAAGCAATATTAGAAATGGTGATAATATTCAGACTAACGATGGATCACAGATTCAAGCAATATTGCTTAAATGGAGGAGTCCAAGCATTTAGGCGTATCTTTAGAGGATGATGACAATTGTAATAATGATAAACACCCACCTAGAAACAAACTTGTGGAAAAAGACAATCATCAAGATGGAGTTAGAGTTGAAAAGGACCAACCTAAGGCACCTGTCTATTACCAAAATCTAGTAGGTATTAACCACGAATCGAATGTTCTTCATGATAGTCATTGCGACGATACTGGAGCTGAAGTGGATGAATATAAGGCATCCAATGATTATCAGGAACTTGTTGTCGCAGATTGTGCCGATGATGAAGATAACGTTAGACCCTATTATCAGAATAAGACTAGTATCAAAAAGGAAAAGTCTGAATTAGCTGTCCATAATAAAAAGTCTGCAGAGGTAGAGGATGGAATCGTTGAATGCAATGTGCCTGAAAAGAATGAACATGAAGCCTTTGTTAAACCCCAAGAACTATGTGAAATAGGCTCCACTAAGGAAACATATGAGGAATCAACCAATGTTATACATGGAGAATTGGAACATTCTTCGAATCTTGCTGAAGGAAACGACTTAGAGGAGCAAAACATTCTTGGATGGTACTACCAAAATGATATAGGTATGATTGAAGAAAATTCGGATGTGAAAACCTTAAGTAAAAATAACCGCAAAACATTGGTTGGTGGTGGCGAATACGATAAAGAAGAAAAATGTGACCTACCCAAAAGACTCTTGGAAAAAGAAGCTTTGCAACATGAATGCGAAAAATGGATAGAAAAGGTTAGTAAGTTCCAGATGGTCACACGATTAGTAGAAAGACCTACAAAAATCGAACCTACCAAAAGAACGCCTAAAGTGATCAATGCCGAAATGGATGAATTACGTATATAGTATTCAACAAGTACTGTGGATGGAAAATCGGATGGACAATTTGATCCTGGAGGACATAATAAGCAAATCGGAAAAGGTCTTGATAAGGTTTGTGATTCCTAAAGTAAAAGAGTTAATGAGTTAAAAAAAATGATCAAAAACGATTGGAGAAAAATAAGAACCTCACACTTAATTGATTCCAAAGAACCTTCCCAACTTGCTGAAATTAAATCTAGTCGTGGCTTTTGTTACCAAAATGGGAATGGTATTGAAAAAGAAAATTGTAAGACGCTTATGTATTACCAGGATATGGATGAACTTAATAATGAAAAGACAGACGAAGATGAGGATGACAAAGAAACATTAGTTGACGACGATAATTGGGATGAGAAAGTAAATGTTGTTTTACCTGAAAGACCCTTAGAAAGAGAAGCCCTATATCGTAAATGTGAGAAATGGTTGAGAAAAGTTAGTGAGTTCCGGATGACTGCGTACAAAGAAAAGGAGCTTAACAAAATAGAACCTACCAAAGAAATGTTTAATAGGGTATATGTCGAAAGAGACAAGTTAAGTAGAAGGTATGGGACAAGCGTTAAAAATAGCAAGTCAGATGGACAAGCCGATCTAGGAAGGAATGGTAATCGAAATAGAAAAAGCCTATTTGTGATGAATGTTGAATTAAAGGAAGAGAATCGAGAAATATTAGTAGACGAAAATAGCAATAATGATAAAAGAATCAAATGCCGTTTGAAAAAGAATGAAAACAAACCTGAGAAAAGGACGCCATTCAGAATTGGTTTAGTAGAAATTGCCGTAGTAACAATATCAGCATGTGATCTTGTCGATTTGGTCTTCGATCCTGGAGAATGAAATTGAACTAAATTAGTATAGTGAAATGAAGAAAAAAAAAAAAAAAAAAAAAAAAAAAAAAAAAAAACTTTTAAAATTTTTAAAATTATAATTAATTTAAATGAAATTACAAATACTTAACTGCTGAAGTACAATTAAAATTTTCA